CGTAGTAAAATTCGAAGTGTCAGTTTTGTTGTGCATTTTATCGTGAAATTTTTAACACACTGAGAGTGTGACAACTGTCAAATTTGGTTTCCTTTGATATTCTCAGGATCACATCTTGAAATGTATCGATAAAGCAGCTCCAGGTTTCATGCTGTAGAAGGAAATTAAATTGCGCAATTTAAACCTACGAAAATGACCAGAAGCGAAAGAAAACATAATTGAAAAGACACTTTTTCTGTACTCCTCTTCAGATAAAACTTCTTTGAATTAAACCGCGACATCAAAAAAGATTGAATTACTGAGTGACAAAATCTTTTGTCATGCTGTGCTGCATCATGGCTTTATTATACAGCGAAAAAAGTATTTTCGATCTCTTTCATCAGTAAGAGGAGATTGCTGTCCTTACGTTTATATTTAACCCCGGAAATTTTCCCGCGTCATTAGTTAACTTAAAATAGATTTAGCTTGGAAATCTGAAAGTATTATATCTAATTGGAGTCGTGTGAATGGACATCAACGAATTGGGAAAGGATCGTGTCGGCTGAATAACGATCGCGAATTTGAATTCTCTGCCTAAGTATTTTATATTTCTGATTAATGGGAGTAAAGAATTTTTAGTAAATATTGGTTTCTGCTTAGCATTTTCTCACACCTGAAAAAATACCGAGTAACACTTTAAAATCAAAACAAATATGAAACGTTCAACACTGCAACAAAACACTTATTGTAATCTCCGGCTTGGAAAAATGACGGAAATATTGCTTTATCTGGGAAGGCAGACTTTGGAAGTGAGTTGAAATTCAGATCATGATTAACCAAAAGCGCCGTGTACTCATAGACTCCTCTTAAAAACCTCAATTCGGTAATGTGCCTTTGAAGTGAGATCATTCGGTAAACTCAACTTGTGCGCTGCTGGTCGTAGCTATTATAGCCTCTGGCTGGTGGAAAAGGCATTTAATGCAAAAGTGTGAATCGGTTTTGAAACTCATACATTATTAGGTATGTAACTCTTCCCAGCTCATCAACATAAAGTTATACACCTACTCAATAAAAGATTCAGTCAAAATATAGAGGATATTTCATGACCATGGATGTATACGAATTTTATCTTCGAGTGCTGATATTATCTCTGACGATTTAGTGAAGCGGGTTAATAATTAATCATCGTGGTGGTAGCGGTGTTAAGCCTAATAATAATAATAATAATAATAATAATAATAATAATGATAATAATAATAATGATAATAATAATAATGATAATAATAATAATAATAATAATAATAATAATAATAAACGATCTTTAAGGAGGAAGCGCCCGTCACGTAAATGCGTGGTTTTCAGGGAGGTCCTCCTTAAAAATAAAAAGTATTAAAAGCTGTTTTATCCATCATTTAAAGTATATATCCATTAAGAATCTTGTAAGGTTTTCCTTAAAAATTGTGCATGGCATTGGCCTTCTTAAAAATACAGGGAGGGACATCCAGTCATTTATAAAACGGAAGTAGGACACCCTCTTTCCGCATTCCGTTTTAGGTTTAGGCAGTCTAGGTAAGTAACCATTTCTAGTGTTGTAGCCATGCGAACTTCTCAATGTCGATTTAAAACTTTCAAAATGTTGCGGAGTATTCGCGTAGGTCATGCTCTAAGGAACGCGATAGGAATATGATCTGTGATAGAAGTGGACATAGTGTACCTGTCTGTTAGCAATTTGAATATTTCCTGCTCTTCTGGTTCCAGACACGAAATTTACGTTTTTCTCCCTACTGACTCGAACAATTTTAGATAAGTCAATAAATTTGGCAGAATGATTCTTAGATCCAATGAGAGCCAACGATTCCTCTATACGTGTTGTTTACTCTACTCGAAATTAAAAATTTATCACAAAGTCAATTAAAAAGGTTGATGAACAAACGTGACTTTATAAAGTGGCATATACATCAACAAGATCTCCTTGACAGGCGTTCCGTCGATCC